CAAAGAGCCAAGTTTTTACTCTTTTTCGGAAAGTTGGGGGGGGGGAATCTAATATACCCTAGGGAGGGTGTTCCACAGCCAAGGGGCTACCACTGAGAAGACCCTGTCTCCCATCCCCACCAGGTGTGCCTGCACGGAAGGTGGGATCGAGAGCAGGGCCTCCCCAGATGATCTTAAGTTCCTAGATGTTTCATAAGGAGAGATGCGTTCGGACGGGTAAGCTCACCATAACAGTAAATAAAGAACATAACCCCAAAAAGGGGAAATTCCAGACAAGAAACAATCGGAGCCAGCTAATCACCTTGGTTTGGAGGCACTGGAGCAGTACCTTTTCCCCCCTTGCTTTCTGCTTTGGGTGCACATGCTCTTTCTCACTTCCCAGGAAAGGAAGAGGGATCAACCTGGAGATATCTTACCCTGGGCTTCCTTTAAAAAGCCCTCTCTTCTCTCTTGGTTTGGAGGAACTGGATCAGTGCCTCCCCTCCTCTTGCTTTCTGCTTTGGGTTTAATGCTTAATTAAGGCTGTTTTTATTCTAGAGCTGCAGAGTAAAAACAGGTGCATGTACTCCCTCCCTGGAGCAGGCAGTTTCCCAGGGCATTTTAAGGAGGCTCCCACTTCCCAGGGAAGGAATGACTTGGAGGTATCCTACCCTAGGTTTCCTTTAAAAAGCCCTCTCTTCTCTCTTGGTTTGGAGGCACTAGAGCAGTGCCTCCCCTCCCCCTCCTTTTTGCTTCAGGTTTAATGCTTCATTAAAGCTGTTTTTACTGTAGAGGAGACAGGAGCTGCAGGTGCCCATGCTCTTTCCCTGCAGCAGGCAGTTTTCCAGGGCATTTTAAGGAGACTCCCACTTCCCAGGGAAGGAAGAGGGGCCTTTTAAAGGAAGCCCAGGGTAGGATATTTCCAGGTTGATCCCTCTTCCCTGCAACAAAGGATTGCCCCAGGCAGTAAGAAGCCAGACCTTAAAAACTGCTAGGCCAATTCAATGCTAATCAAGGTGGCCAATTGCAACATTTACACCTACCTCAAACAGACAAGAGTTCTTTCTCCCACCGTGGATATTCCACAGATATATAAACCCTAGTTTCCAACAGACCTCACAACTTCTGAGGATTCCTGCCATAGATGCAGACGAAACGTCAGGAGAGAATGCTTCTGGAACATGGCCTCACTGCCCTGAAAACTCACAACTACCCAGTGATTCCGGCCATGAAAACCTTCGACAATACATTTTTCATTTTGCTTTTAAAACACCAAATTTCATATGTGGAACCAGAAGGGCACCTCGATATCAGAATTTTTCCCTATTTTTATGGCATCACATTTTACAATGTGTGTAAGGTAAAGGTAGTCCCCTGGCATTAAGTCCAGTCATGTCCGACTCTGGGGTGTGGTGCTCATCTCCATTTCTAAGCCGAAGAGCCAGCGTTGTCCGTAGACACCTCCAAGGTCATGTGGCCGGCATGACTGCATGGAGCGCCATTACCTTCCCACCGGAGCGGTACCTATTGATCTACTCACATTTGCATGTTTTCGAACTGCTAGGTTGGCAGAAGCTAGGGCTGACAGCAGAAGCTCACGCCTCTCCCCGTAATTGAACCTGCGACCTTTCGATCAACAAGCTCAGCAGTTCAGTGCTTTAACCCACTGCGCCACCGGGGGCTCCTGATGTGTGTAGATCAATGTGTGTAGTTCACACCAAAAGAGATGATAGAGAATACTCCTTTGCTCTGCAAAAGAATTCAATGTATTTTGTTTTATATCTTTATGTCAGATTTCTGGCAGTACCTACAAACGCTTGTTGCATTTTCCCTACCACCTTACCCGTGAGGGACATTAACCTTTGCTTTGCAGAATCTTCTGGGTGCCGTCATTAAGTATTTGGGGACCTTAAAAACTGCTAGGCCATTCAATGCTAATCAAGATGGCCAATTGCAACATTCACACCAACCTCAAACAGACAAGAGTTATTTCTCCCACCCTAGACATTCTACAGATATATAAACCCCATTTTCCTAGTTTCCAACAGACCTCACAACCTCTGAGGATGCCTGCCATAAATGGAGGCAAAACGTCAGGAGAGAATGATTCTGGAACATGGCCATAGAGCCTGGAAAGCACATAACAACCCAGTTAATGATATTCACACACTTTCTCATCCAGAGATGTTTTCCCGCTGGGTGATCCAAGAAGTCATTGTGTGATTCAGGACTGAGCAAGATTTTCTAAAAATAGGCTCCCAACTTTTCCTATTTGCAGCTTCCACTGTAAAAGCCGCAACAGAATTCTGAAGCAAAATAACAGAACCTTCTCTCTTTTTTCCCACTTCTGAAAAATCTACACGATTATTCAAAGCTTCCTCAGAAAGAGTTTGACCAGACCATTCGGCCTTTGTTTGTTTTTCCCCCTCCGCTCTTCCAGGAACAGGCCTCTAATGCCAATGAAGAGAAGAAGTCTACCCTGCTGGCAAAGGGACAGCTGCCGCAAGTATGAAATCACCACTGTTTTGCAAAGCAGTCACGACATTGTTTCAAGAGACAAAAGTCTTTGCATGAAAGAAACGAACCTACTTCTGTTCAGTAGCCTTTTGTGCTGCAATGGGAAAAGCCCTCGACAAAAGGCCCAGGTTAAGAAAATAACTCCGCTGAGAGCAAAGTTTGAGAAGATAGGACTATTAAAACTCATGGGGGGAAAATAGGTCTCTCTACACATACAAGCGAAGGTTGATTGACTTCCCTGCCTATTTTAGATGGGACACTGCAAGTCATTACCTCTCGGAATAATTACGTTTATAAATAACGAGTTTAAATACAAGGCTCGCCCTGCATTCCAGACAACTGTCCTTCAAAATTAATCAATTCTTAAGGGACCAACTGCTCCTTGTTCAGAGTGTTTCCAGAAGCCAGGCTTGACGCAAAGATACTTAACAAGAGATGTAATTTAAAATCTTTCGCTCAAATATATTTTTCCATAATGATTATTAAGCAGGCATCTCAAATCTTGATCAGAGGAGATAATTAGCAGCAATCATCTCAAAATATGGCAACAGGAACAGGGCTAATATGTCATGCTCACCAGGGAATGGTAACCTGCTGGCAGTTTTGTACGATGATCATCTAGAGGCTGCACAAGTGGGAAAACGATGATAACGATCTATTTCTCACTAAAACTTGGCTAAAATGGCAACCACTGAACCAGAATCATGTCTAAAGTAAAGGTAAAGGTTTCCCCTGACATTAAATCGTATCCGACTCAGAGGGGTGGGGCTCATCTCCATTTCTAAGACAAAGAGCTGGCGTTGTCCATAGACACCTCCAAAGTCATGTGGCCAGTATGACTGCATGGAGCATTACCTTCCCACAAAAGTGTTTTTCAAACTGCTAGGTTGGCAGAAGCTGGGGCTAACAGCAGGAGCTCATCACGCTCCACTGATCATGTGGCCAGTATGACTGCATGGAGCATTACCTTCCCACAGAAGTGATACCTATTGATCTACTCACATCTGCATGTTTTTCAAACTGCTAGGTTGGCAGAATCTAGGGCTAACAGGAGCTCACCCTGCTCACCAAATTGAAAATGCTGACCTTTCCGTCAGCAAGTTCAGCAGCTCAATGGTTTAACCCACTGCCATGTATATTTTTCCTATTTATAGTTTTCATGAAATTTATTGGGCAAACAACTGGTTTTACTGAAGATTCAAAAATTGCAAATATTATTGGAATACATGGGAGTTTTCTTAATTGACACCCATCTCTACTCTGTCGCTCAGTTTCCAAAGCAGCAGCAATAATAATAATAATAATAATAATAATAATAATAATAATAATAATCTTTATTTATACCCCGCCACCAACTCCTCAAAGGGGACTCGGGGCTGCTAACATGAGGCCAAGCCCAAAAAAACAGTACAGCAAAATAAAATACAAAATAACGAATAATTACATCACAATAAAATACTGAAGATTCAAAAATGGTACATATTGTTGGAATAGATGGGAGTTTTCTTAATTGACACCTATCTCTACTCTGTCGCTCAGTTTCCAAAGCAGTAATAATAATAATAATAATAATAATAATAATAATTGTCATGGCTGGAATCACTGGGTTGTTGTAGGTTTTTTCAGGCTATATGGCCATGTTTTAGAGGCATTCTCTCCTGACGTTTCGCCTGCATCTATGGCAAGCATCCTCAGAGGTAGTGAGGCCGCATCGAGTCCTTCGGGAGATGCTAGCGGGGTACAAATAAAATTTAATAATAATAATAACGCAGGCAAAACGTCAGGAGAGAATGCCTCTAGAACAGTGGTTCTCAACCTGGGGTCTCCAGATGGTTTTGGCCTTCAACTCCCAGAAATCCTAATAGCTGGTAAACTGGCTGGGATTTTTGGGAGTTGTAGGACAAAAACATCTGGGGACCCCAGGTTGAGAACCACTGCTCTAGAACATGGCCATATAGCTCAAAAAAACCCTACAACAACCCAATAATAGTAATAATAATCATCATCATCATCATCATCTTTATTTATACCCCGCCACCATCTCCCCAAAGGGGACTCAGGGAAGCTAACGTGAGGCCAAGCCTGAAAAAACAATACAGCAAAATAAAATGAAAAATTGCATCACAATAAAATACATAATGTAACAGGATAAAATAAACAGTGCAAAATAACATAATGAAAAGTCGAACACGATGGGCGGGCCAAATGCACAAGATAAAATAATAAAACCCTGGATGAGATTGAAGTGGAAAAAAATGTATTTGCAAGGGAGGAGCCTAAAAAGGATGAACAGTGGGGTTAGGTCTTCATTAAGGATGGAGGAAAGTGCATCATGAGGACGATACTGTAGATGGAACAGAAATGGGATATATGGTCACTCTCCAAAGGCACATTGGAAGAGCCAAGTTTTTATATCTTTCTTAAGTATTAACTGGAATTAATGAGTTAAGAGGCTGTCAAACTATAGAAATTAAATCGCCTTTTTAAAAAAATCAGCACGTTACCTTAGTTGTTCTCCTCAAGCTTCGGAGGATGTTCCTTTTCCTGGGGTCTTCATCGGTAGTCTCATATGGAATGACAGCATTATCTCCCTTATAACCTTGGGAGGTCTGGTCTTCCTCCTTCTTCCTAATGGGGCCCAATTCATCATCGCTCCCTACGCTGAAACTGGTCCTGAAACTGGCAAATCTCCCGAGCTTTGTACATCTTGTCCGATACAGCACTGGTTTACTAATGATAGACACCTTGCGGCCACGTTCTAAGGAGCTCGTGTCCATTTCGCTGTCTGACCCGTTGCCGCTTCCGTTGGACTGGGTCTTGTTGATGTTCCGAATGGTGATGATTTTGCCTTGGGTGCTGTCGTGGGGCACTGAGTAGATATTTTCCTCCTCATTCCTCGGTTTGACTACCGCATCCATGGGCTCCGCATAGTCGGAAGGGTCAAAGCCATCCGTTGGGGGCCAACTGCTGGATGACACGGACTTCCTCTGCCCGTCCCTATGCCCTTGTTCCAAATAAGAAAGATCCCCCTTGGTAATATCAAAATGGACCGGGGGCTTTGGTTTCACTGGCGGAGGTACTTTGTTGTTCAGCTTGCTTTCAAAAGTGCTCATAACAGAAAAGACGGAAAGACCATCGTTCCCCTCTAACTCCATGGAAAGTTTAGAAAGATCTTTGGACAAACTGGGCAATGAGGTGTCCTCTCGGAAAGGGCTGTAGGTCGGAGGCTCAATGTCTTCCTCCGAATCCTGAAGGTTTGAATTGCAGAGGGGGGAGCCGGCCCGGGGGGAATTGAACACTTCTTCCGTGGTGCTGCAGGCTTCCGCAGCGTTATCGTACATGTGGGTGGCTTCAATGATGTTTTTCCTCTCCATCACGTCCTTGAAGAACAGGTGGAAGATTTCTAGTTTATGTTGAGGTTGACTACAAGGGATAGTGGTGAACTTTCCTTCGATGTCCTGGGCGATATCCTCTCCCTCCGTCAACTGTTCCCTACTCAAATCGTTGTCCAGAACATCTAAGGAGCCATCTGTGAGTGCCACGATTTGAACAGGGATAATATCCTGCACTTCAGAAAGGAAGGCACGTAACATAGCCAGGGAGGCTTTACGCTTAGCTGAATAAAACAAAATGTAGCCATGGACTAGCCAGCTTTTCCTAATGCTAAATGAGGAATGGTACGAAAGCAAGGAGAGTTCTATACGCCTCTTGTGTGGTCCTATGTGATATTCAAGTAACACAGAATTACTGCTCCCGCAATGGGAAGGCCTACAGGTTTGGGACTGAAGAATTGGGAGGAGGATGTCATCCGCATTGAAGGGATCTCCACACAACAAACACATGACTATCCGAAGATCAATATCAGCCATATCTTTAATGCTCGCTGTCGAGCTCATCAGGTTTAAGTTGCGCTTCGAGTCGAGCAGGCCTTTCAGAACTTGGCTGATTTGCTTCTCGTTAATATTACGCCCATAGCCAATGCCAGCAGAAGCTGGGTCGAGGAAGACGCACTGCAGCTTGCTGGCAATCTGCTGCCCTTGCTGGATGAGGCTGTGCAGGGTTTCTCCACTCGTGTCTCCTCTCTTGTTCACCAGGATGAGAGTCAGAGGAAGGTGAACTAAGTGGTTGTCCCTTCGGCCAAGAGTGGACTCTCGGCTCTTTTCAATACTTTCGACAACATACGACAGAGATTCCTTGGAGTTATAAAGACAGAGGCAACCATGGGGCTGAAACGTTGGCGTCTGAAAAGAATTAACAGGAAGCCTGACATTACCTTCGATCGGTCTCAAGGAGAGCTCATACATCTTTCCATCTATCACATACTTGTCATCATTTGTGCAAAGAGCTCGGATCTCATTTGCTAACTCACGTGCAAGTCCATCTTTACCGAGAATGACTAAGTTGATTCTATCTATATTGGAGTCTGACAGTAAGTTTTTCTGATTGCGATCAGAAGGCCTTATAAACCTGGAACTTATCAAATGCTCAATTTTAGCATCTATGCAAGCTGGGCAGCTGGGGCAGGTTTCCTTTGTTGGGTGATACACAAAATGGATGTGCTTCAAGATCAGGGCATCTCGTTCGGCTTGCAGCTTTTGTAATGCTTTAAATCGTTGTTCTTCGCCCAACACATCCTGGATGACGCCCATTTTCTCTTTACTGGGCTTGGCATCAAGCTCCAGCTCATAGAACAGTTCTGAGTATTCCAGAAGCAGCTCCTGAAACTCCTCCTTGGCCTTCTCTATAATCTGCTTTTGGTGTCTACCGTAAATATCCATGTAGACCGACTCTTCGAGCCACATATAAAAGTCCTCGTTCATGATGAAACTACGCGCCTCCTCCCAAGGTTTTCCTGGAGTTATGAAAGGGGAAGTCTCCAAATTCTCCTTGAAAGCCCTTCTCATTTCTGCCCTTTTCCTCTCATTCCTCAGCTTCTCAAGATGGGCCTCGTAGAGTTGCTGGGCAGGCAAGGTCTCCATCAGGTCGAAGGGAATGCGTTCGTTCTCCATGTTATCGATGTGGTTGGTGGCATCCCAGGGAGTCTCCTCAAGAACCACAAACCACTTTAAGAAGTCCGGCTTCGACTCCAACAGCTTCTCCACCTTGATGCAGCTCAAATGGTTTATATCATCCAAGTCTGGAATAAGGGCTTCAAAAGCGAGAGGCAAAGCAGCAAGATACATTTTCCTCCGGCGCTCTATATGTTCTTGTTTGAGGCGATGAATATGTTGCAGGAAGAGCTTCTTGGCTTTCGGCGTCCCTTCCAGATAGACATAATCCTGGTACTCTGGAGAGGACTGCATCTTCCGCGAGACATTCAACCAAGTCTCATTGTGGTTTTTCACAATGCGGCTCACCAGCCACTCATACTTATCTTTCGCAGCCGCAATCTGCTGGCTTTGCTGCTTCAAAGCCTCAAAGTAAGGGATAATTTTAGTCTTGCCCCTGCTTTTGTCTATCAGCTGCACTAAAGTGCTGAAAGCCAAGTCCACGTTCACATTGGATCTGGCAGACGTCTCGACCACCTGGAGGTTCTTTTTGCTTAAGGCAAAAGTATGTGCATCTCTAATGTACCGCTCCACCCCTTCGTCACACTTTGTCAGAACGATCACTGTGGGCTTTTTCGTTTTCGTGAGTTGATTGTACAGGTTTGAAACGAACTTGAGCTGATCATCAAAGTTCCTGTTCATGCCCCTGCTGACATCGATACAGAGAAGAAAGCCGTCTACCAACAGCTTCCCATCCGGCATCTGTTTCTGCTCGAAGTCCTGCTCCAGCCCGAGCTGATCAGTGCAAAAGTACATGAGCTTTTCTGCAGATGCAAGCTTGGTTGCAGCCGCCCTTTTGATATAGGGCTGGAGGGCGGTGCTGCGGTGAGGCTGGAAAGTCTGGTCATCAATAAATTCAGTCTGTTCCACAATGTGCATTTTACATTCCACACAGTCCTCCAGGGAACGCACCACTTCCCCCCAGTACAAGAAGTGGTCGTTGTTGACAACTCTTCCTCCAAAGTCACTGGTGCTGAGGACTGAAGTGTGGTCCAAGTGGAAGTCATCTGCCCTGGGCCGCACAAAGCGATTGCACAGGCACGATTTCCCAATGCCACACTGCCCTTTCTCTTTCTCCGTCCCAGACAATCCGACCACACTGATGTTGTAGGTGGGGATGCGGACATCTTGCTTCCTTGCCATCATCATCGTCCAAACATCCTGTTACCCTTGGCAGCTTCCCGGAGTATTAATGCCTGCTGAATTTCCATGCAATCGCAATAACGGGCAGGTGACTGCTAGCAATTCACATTAACGATGGGCAGGACAGCGGAGATGGCTCTTCCCATGTTGCGTGGACCGACAGCAGCTCAGTTGTCACTGATCTTCACAACTGGATAGACAGCATGTCTCCCTGGGGAAAAGTGGAGAATAGGAACAGGTTTAGGATATTTTTAATTACAGGAAAAGTGCACGAGATCTTTCATTAAAACATACTGCTACATGGCAAAGAGACACATAGGAATTTCAACTTGGGTTGTTGTACGTTTTTCCGGGCTATATGGCCATGTTCTAGAAGCATTTTCTCCTGACGTTTCACTTGCATCTATGGCAAGCATCCTCAGAGGTAGTGAGGTCTGTTGGAAGTAGGAAAATGGGTTTATATATCTGTGGAATGACCAGGGTGCGACAAAGGACCTTTGTCTGCTGCAGCTAGGTGTGAATGTTTCAACTGACCACCTTGATTAGCATTTAATGGCTTGGAAGTGCCTGGGGGGGAAAGTGCCTCTAGAACATGGCCATGTAGCCCGGAAAAACCTAAAACAACCCAGTGATTCCAGCCATGAAAGCCTTCGACAATACAATTTCAACTTGATTCAAAAGGAAAAGCATAACACACACATACACAAAGGTTGTGCCCTGAAAACTCTTGGGTGAGTGGGCTTATTAACGAAAGACCCTCTCAAATACAGGGAAGTCAAGACAAGAAACAGTCAGGGACAGCTAATCACCTCCCAACAAAGGATTCCCCCAGGCAGTAACAAACCACCCCTAAAACCTGTCAGGCCATCAAATGCTAATCAAGGTGGCCAGTTGAAACATTCACACCTAGCTCCAACAGACAAGAATTCTTTCTCCCACCCTGGACTTTCCACAGATATATAAACCCCATTTTCCTAGTTTCCAACAGACCTCACAAACTCTGAAGATGCCTGCCACAGAAGCAGGCGAAAGGGAGAATGCTTCTGGAACATGGCCATACAGCCCAAAAAACTTACAGCAACCCAAACTTTAACAATATTTCTAGTAGTGAGGAAGCAAAACATGAGAAGAGAATGCTTCTAGAACATGGCCATACAGCCTGAAAAACACTCCACACTGGTGGAGTTTGAGGGGGGGGGGGGACTTGACATTTTGGAGTTGTAGTTGCTGGGATTTATAGTTCGCCTACAATCAAAGAAAATTCTGAACCCCACCAATAATCAAATTGGCCTAACTTCCCACACAGGACCCCCATGTCTTGAAGGAACTCACTGGAATGAGCCTCCCTCCAGCCTTGCACGCTCTCCCTTGCCCACACATGCGCACTATGCTGCCATGTGCCAATCATGTCTGCTCTCGCCTCCTTGCTTGGAGTCTCAGAAACAGCCCTCCACTTGGCTGACAAACCGGTCAATCACAGTGGAGGAGGGCTTTTGGTGGGAGGATTCGCCATCTGTTTCCAAAATAGAAGAGAAGGACAGGCGGCGAGATCTTCAGCCTTCTATGCCAAAGGGGTTCTTAAGTCCATCAGAAATATATGTTTTCTAATGGAATTTGGCAACCCCTCTCAAACCCCCTCATGACCCCCCCCCCCCAGGTCCCGACCCCCAGGTTGAGAAACGGCGGTCCATACAGATAAATAAAGGAGCACCAGTACCAGAATGAGGATCAGGAAGGCTTGAGCAAGAAGAGAAGAAGTAATTAACTGAGATTTTATTTCATAGACTGAGCTACAATGTCCCCCTTTCCTTGCAAAAATCCCATGTTTTCATTGGTCCCCTGATAAGCAACAATTAACAAGTACAGATCCTGTATCTAATGGACCTGTAGATGTTTAGCTGGCAATATTCTTGAAGTGCTAAATATGCTTCCTTAAGGAAGAAATTCCACAGACCTACCATATTTTTAATATTTTTAATATGTTTTATTGCATTTATATGTTTGATAATTTGATATGTTATATTTATTATTTGTTGTTGTGCTTATTACATTTATATGTTTTGTTTGATAATTTGATATGTTATATTTATTATTTGTTGTATGATGCAGCATTGAATGTTGACATAATCTGTAAGCCGCTCTTAGTCCCCTTTGGGGTTGAGAAGAACGGGGTATAAATACAATAAATAAATCAATAAATAATATTGGTACATCTAGGTATCACTTAGCTTGCTTTGGATAATTTCAAGAGACAGAGACATGCAAGGAGCTGAGACCAGACCACTTCCAGATTTCCTGAAACGCATTCATGAGACAAGATGACCAGATAACTCAGTTTACAGAAAGAGCGTGATTCTTGTTCGCTAGGCAAAAGGCTATGCCAATAAACACACAACTCTGTGGACTTTATATAGTTTATCTGGCAGAGGTTATTAACAAAATAGCAATAAAAGGCGAAAAGTCTCCTGAACTATAAATTAACTACTATAACGTAAAGTTTAACAGGAGTCAAATGTCAGCTTTATGTCTTTGTCCCCTGGCTACACCACACTTCAAATCACGGCATTACCAACAAGATGGGAAAAGAGAAATAGCAAAAGGTGAAAGCATCAAGGAAAGGAAATCTGCCCAATTTGCAGCTGAAAGAGCTAAACAACTATTATAAGCCTAGAAATCTTTCTTCTTCCAGCCTTTCCAAAATTTATATAAATAAAAATGTGATGTTTCATTTGTGGGATTAACATAACTCAAAAACTACTGGACCAATTGCCGTCAAATTTGGCCACAAGACACCTACTAACCCAAGGAGTGACTATCACTCAAAAAAATTGGTTTTGTCATCTGGGAATTGTAGTTGCTGGGATTTATAGTTAACCTACAATCAAAGAGCAATCTGAGCTCCACCAACAATGGGATTGAACCAAACTTGGCACACAGAACTACCATGACCAACAGAAAATACTAAAAGGGTTTAGTGAGCATTGACCTTGAGTTTGGGGGTTGTAGTTCACTATATCCAGATAGCACTGTGGACTCAAACAATGATGGATCTGGACCAAACTTGGCACGAATATTCCATATGTCCAAATATGAATACAGATGGAGTTTGGGGGAAATCAACCTTGACATTTGGGAATTGTAGTTACTGGGATTTATAGTTCACCTACAATCGAAGTGCATTCTGAGCTCCACCAACAATGGGATTGAACCAAACTTGGCACACAGGACTCCCATGACCAACAGAAAATACTAGAAGGGTTTGGTGGACATTGACCTTGAGTTTGGGAGTTGTAGTTCACCTACATCCAGAGAGCACTGTGGACTCAAACAATGATGGATCTGGACCAAACTTGGCACGAATATTCCATATGTCCAAATATGAATACAGATGGGGTTTGGGGGAAAAAGACCTTGACATTTGGGAGTTGTAGTTACTGGGATTTATATTCACCTACAATCAAAGAACATTCTGAACCACACCAACGAGAGAACTGGGCCAAACTTCCCACAGAGAACACCCATGACCAACAGAAATGTTGCCTGAAGGTCATCCAGTCCAACTCCCTTCACCAGGGCAAGAAAACGTAATCAAACCCTGCTGACAAAGAGCCATCCAGCCATAGATATATATTATTCACACACACAGAGAGATATAGTATCTTAGATTTGAAAGGGGCCCCTAAAGAAGGACAATTACTGTATATACTCGAGTATAAACCAACCCGAATATAAGCCGAGACACTTAATTTTACCACAAAAAATTGAGAAAACGGATTGACTCGAATATAAGCCAAGGGTGGTAAAAGCAGCAGCTACTGCTGAATTGCAAAATAAAAATAGATGCCAATTAAATTACATTAATTGAGGGATCAGTAGGTTATATATTTTTGAATATTTACAAAAATGGTAATTTAAGATAAGACTGCCCAACTCTGATTAAATGATTATTTATCTTCTTCAATGTAAATAATAATATACTAATAATAATAAAATGATATTATAATTATATATTTTATATTAAATGTAATATTACTAATAATATCACAGTATAATGTTATAGTACAATGTAATATATAATATTAATATTGTGCTATGATAATAATATATTGTATTTACTTTTTACTTGTAAGCCGCTCTGAGTCCCCTTCGGGGTGAGAGGGTGGCATATAAATGTTGTAAGTAAGTAAATAAATAAATAAATGTGCTTACGTATCCTTTCAATAATAACAAAGAGGGTAACATAATAAATGTAATAATAATAACAATAATAATAAAAAGAGTAAAACAATGTAGCAATAACAACAATTATACACTAAAACAATAAAGGTATAATAATAGAGTAAAATGATAAATGTAATAATAATAATTAGAATAAAATAATAAATGAAATGAGAATAATAATAATAATAATAATAACAACAACAATAATAATGATAATAGAGTAAAATAATATACAACCTTGACTCGAGTATAAGCCAAGGGGGACTTTTTCAGCCTAAAAAAAGGGCTGAAAAACTAGGCTTATACTCTGGAACATGCAACAGTATATGTTGCATGTTCCTGAGTAGGCAAACCACATCAACAATGACAAAGAAACAACAAGAACGCAGGGGACGGCTAGTAGCTAATATTTTTTTTCTGAAGCCAGTGTTGCCAATACAGAATGAACTAGACAGACGTTATCTTTGCTTTTTGGTTTAAGGTCAACAATGGCATCTGATTATTCTTATAATCAGGAAGATTACGTTTCCACAAATGGATAGGCTCAATCTAATAGGATCACCATTGTTAGAAGTGTGAAAAAAGACCTAAGAGCATTCTTAAGGGATATTACTGGGATGCATTAGCCAAGATTTAAGTACGAGTGGAGAAGCAATTTGAACATTTCCCAATTATACTGATTTTGCAATACTGTAGGCATTCTGGTTTCTTTTAATTCAGATTAAAACTGGCACTGCTCTTTTAAAATGGGGAGCGGGAGGATTGGCACTCGGGTGACATTGCTGGCCTTCATAGTTACAACATGCCTGTTGTCAGAGAATGTGGACTTTGAATCCGCAGCCAATATAAATTATCCTTTGCTTTGATGGCTGAATAATGCAGTTTAACTAGTTCTTCAGTTGGAATGAATTACAGGAGACAAAAGGTTGCTGTAAGTTTGAAAATGCTATTGTACGCTTGATTTAGAAAAAGAAACCTGGAGCATTTGAT